TTTCTAACCATAATGAAATCAAACTAGAAATCAGTTGACAAGGACAACAGGAAAAATCTCCAAACGCTTGGAAACTGAACAATGCACTTTTAAAAAATACATGAGTCAAACAAGCCTCAAAGGAAATTAAAAAAAATACATATACCCTTATTAAAATAAAAATACAACACATTGTTTCAGAGTGCAGTAAAGCAGTGCTGAGCAGGAAATTTTAGCACTAAAATGCTTGCAATAGAAACAAAGGAGGTCACAGGTAGAAATACAAGTGTTTTCCCCAACAAATAGAAAAGAAGCACAAAATAAACCCAAAGTAAGATATAAGGGAGAAAGTAATAAACATAAGAGGTAAATGCTATGACATTGAAAATAAGACAATAGTATGGAAAAAGCAAGAAAAAAACTGGTTCTCTGATAAATTCAATAAATTGAAAAATCTCTAGCAGGACTGTTAAAGTTAAGAAGAGAGAAGACAGCAATTAATCATGTTACAACCAAAACACTCCTGTGGTCATTAAAAGGATAATAAGGACTGTGACATAATTACACCCATAAATTCCATACCTGAGATGGAATGGACCAATTCCTTAAAAAACACAAACCACCAAAACAATACATATGAAACAGATAAGGTATTTCCATAAGTATTAAATGAAGTGAGATGGTAATTAAAAATCTCCCGCCATACACATACATAAATGTCCAGGGATTTCACTAAAGAATTTTACCAAATATCTAAGAATGAACATGTACTTTAAACAACTTCTTCCAAAACACAGAAGAGAAGGTAATACTTCTCAATTTATTTTATGAGGCCAGTATCACTCTAATACAAAAATTAGACAGTACAAAACAAGAAAGCCACAGAGTCACAGACCAATATTTCTCATGAACTTTAACAACAACAAAACCAATAAATTATCAGCAAATAAACCCAGTCACCAATAAAAAGAATTATATAGCAGGACCAAGTTGTAGCTTTTCTAGATATGCGATACTGTTTTCAATATCTGAAAGTCAATCAGTGCAGTCCATCATATCAACAGGCTGAAAAAGATTTATGTGATCTTATCAACTGAGGCAGAAAAGGCATTTAATTGAATCAAATGCACATACTTTGATGTAAAAAAGAAATCTTAGCAAACCAGAAATGGAGAATGTCCTCAACTTTGTAAAGAATATGTTTTAAAAACAACCCTGCAATTAACATTATCCTTAATGGTAAAAGAGTAAATATTTTATCCTTAAGATTGGGAGCAAAATGAGGGTGTCTGCCCTCACTATTGTGATTCAACACAACTGGAAGTTGTAACAAGCACGGTAAGGCTAAGCAGAGAATAAAAGCACATAGATTGAAAATGAAACAGAAAAATGTTCATGTTTGTAAATGACAGGTCTATTTAGAGAATCACAAAGATCTACCAAAAAAATGAAAACAAAACAAAAAGCCATCATAGAATTAATATGTAACTTCAGCAAGGTTGTAGGTTTTAAAATAAAAAGAATACAATTCTAGATAACAACAAATATATAAAAACTGAAATTGAAATACAATAGCATTTACAATTGCATCAAAGAAAATGAAATACTTTGGTATAAGCCTAAAAAACTACATACAGAATCTGAATGCTAAAATTACAAAATGCTAATAAAAGACACGTAACAAAAGGTCAAATAAGTAGAGAGACTCGTTGCATTCATGGACTGAAAGACTCAACATAGTAAAGATGTCAACTACCCCCAAACTGATCTATAGGTTTGACATAATGTCTATCATAATCCTAGCAACACCGTTTGTATACATATAGCAGGTTTTGTCTAAAGTTTATATGAAAAATCGGGGTGCCTGGGTGGCTCAGTCAGTTAAGCATCCAACTTTGGCTCAGGTCTTGATGTCATGGTTCGTGAGCTCGAGCCCCGCATTGGTGCTGACAGTTTAGAGCCTGGAGCCTGCTTCGGATTCTGTGTCTCCCTCTCTCTCTGCCCCTCCCCTGTTCACGCTCTGTCTCTCTCTCTCAAAAATAAATAAAAGATTAAAAAAATGTCTATCTGAAAAATCAAAATATCTGGAATAGTCTAAAAATCTTAAAAAAATGAGAATAAGTGGGAAGAGTCACTATAGTTTACACAAATGTTTAAGATGCAGGTAAACTAAAGACAGCATGATAGTGGCAGAAATATATATACACATAAAAGAATTGAATAGAATGAAGAACCCAGAAATATATCCACAAAAATATGCCCCACTGACCTTCTCACAAAGATGCAAGAGCAATTCAATGCACAACCTCTGTCAAAAGAATGAAACTTGATTCAAATCCAATACCTAACATAAAGCTATATAAAAGTGAACATAGGGGCGCCTGGGTGGCTCAGTCGGTTAACCGTCCGACTTCAGCTCAGGTCATGATCTCGCGGTCTGTGAGTTCAAGCCCCGCATCGGGCTCTGTGCTGACAGCTCAGAGCCTGGAGCCTGTTTCCGATTCTGTGTCTCCCTCTCTCTCTGACCCTCCCCCATTAATGCTCTCTCTCTGTCTCAAAAATAAATAAATGTTAAAAAAAATTTTTTTTAAGTGAACATAAATGTAATTAAAACTATAAAACTTTTAGGAAACAAAAGAATATTCAAGAACCAGGGATATATGGAGCTCCTAGGCTTAATAGCTAAACCACCATTAAAAAGGGAAAGTTGATAAATTAACCCTCATCAACATTAAAAACTTCTGACCAATGAGATACCTTATGAACAGGCTGTAAAGACACATTACAGACTGGGAATAAATGTTGGCAAGCTACACATCTGGCAAAAGATCTGTATTGAGAATATATAAATTGCTCAAAAATCAAGAGTAGAAACCAAGCAATCCAATTCAAAAATGGGTAAAAGACATTAATAGACATTTCACAGAAGGCAACAAATAAGTACATGAAAATATGTTCAACATCACTGGTCACTAGGAAAATACAAATCAAAATTACATGAGATAATCACTATACATCTATCACAATTGCTAATTTTCTTTAATGTGATAATACCAAAGGTGACAAAAATGCAATCTTTATCTCTCATATATTGACAGTGTAAATGTAAAATGGTAGAGATGTTCTGAAAAACAGCTTAGTAATTTTTTTCTTAAAAATAAACTTACACTTACCATATGATATGGCAATCATATTCCCAGACATGTATTCCAGAGAAATAAAAAATTATATCCACACAATGAACTACCCAGAATGTTCACAGAAACATTATTTTTAATAGGTAAATTGGAAACAATCAGAATTATCTCTCAATAGGTAAAGTGTGAAAACATCTAAACCTGGTGTGGGAATGTGGTTATTTAGAAATTCAAATTTTTAAATAGTTTTCAAGTGATTGAGATTTTCTATGATTTCTTCCCTCAATTTTGGTAAGTTGTCGTTTTCAAGGAAACAGTCTATTTCATCTAAACTATAAAATGTATTAGCATAAAGTTTTCCTAATACCCCAAAATATCATCTTATTTTCTGTATGACTAATCATATATCCTTTTATTCCTAATAGTGATGGAATTTTGTTTTGTGCTAGTTTAGCCTTACTAGGGGTTATTAATGCTGTTAGTCCTTTTAAAGAACTAAATTCTGGGCTTAAATTTTTTTTTCTATTCTTTTTCATTTTTCTATTCATTGATTTCTACCCTTATATGCATTATTTCCTTCATCTACTATGTTTTAACCCTTTGCAGAGTTTTGCATTTTGTATTGGAAGGCAATTAATTTAATGGCAACCTTCCTTAATCCTCTTGTTGCTAAGTTTTAGGCCTTGGGTAGGGAACTGGGGTGACAAGAGTATCTCTTACCCTACAGTTTGGTTCTTCCTCCTAAGAATTAGCCTTTCTGGTCTCAGCTGAATGTCTAGGGTGTCAGCAAAGTCACCTTACTCTCTCTGGGCTGAAAATCCAACATCTCCCAATACTGTTTGACCGTTAGTATTATCTCCATTTTACTCTCTGCCCTTCAGTAGAGTTTTATCCAGCACATAGGCAGCCTAATCTTTAGTAAGGGACATAAGCATAACTCCCCTCCCCATAAAAAATCATACATCTGATGGCCCCTCTTCTCTGGTCCTGTGTCATGCCCTTTCCAGCTGCTTCAGCAGCACTGAACTCCAAATTCTTTGAGTTATTCTTGGTTCCAACTCCCTATGCTCTGGTTAAGACTTTATCCTCAGTCAGAGGGCCAAGTTGAATATGACTCACCTTCTGGGCTTTCTTTTCTCTCAGAAAAACTTCCTGATCAGTCTATTGTCAAATGTCTCAAAATAGGATTCTCATGTATTTTGTTCTGCTTTCTAATTGCAAGTGGTGAAAAACACAATGTACTAATGATTTTTATTTTCATCCTCTCTCAGTTGCAATGTAGCAGAAGAATCTTATCCTTCACTTGCATTTACTTCTTCCCAATCATCTGTTCAGACACACACACACACACACACACACACACACACACACACATACATATCTCACAGACTAAAGCTAACTTTCTCACATACTTAAAATTTCTTGACTCCTATCTGCATTTTGGGAACAACACAAACTCATGTCTCACATGTGAACCTATTCAGATTTTGTAACCAATATGCTTTTGCATCCTCACTATCCCTTTCTATAAGGTCTTTCCACAAAGTAATTCCCACCACTTCCTCCACTGCTCATGTCCTATGAAATCTCAATTAAAATGACTCTGTGTTTCGGGGTTTCTTATTCTTTGCTCCTTAACCCACTTTCTTTCTCAGACCTCTGATAGTTTAAACAACCTTTTTGGATAAGGGATTCCTAAATTCCATATCTGAAAAGTAGTTGTTCTATTTAATCTGCCTTCATAGTAATTGTTACATTATATTTGGGTTTCTGATCTGTTTGCCCAATAATTCTGTGAGGTAGAAAGCATCCTTGTTCTTCCCACCAATGGCACCTTAGCTATATAAAAAACTGCAAATATACACAGCAAAAAGCAAAACTTACCTTTGTAAATGAAGAATCTGGATACAATACTCCTGATTTGTTGTATGCATACACCAGGAAATGAGGGTCTAAAAATGACCTAATTCAACCAAAGTAATAACATTTCATTGTAATAGTAACATTAACAAAAATAGAATCTTGATATTAAGCAATTTACTTTCAATTTTACAAGCTCAAATATCCAAAAATTAAATGGACTCATCTCTTGATTATCTAGTTTGCTGACAGTATATTGTGTATATAAGAAAAAATAATAAGCAGTATAATAATATCAGTAGGGACACCATAATGACATAGATTTATGTAGAGTAGAAACTAGGACTTCCAGATTCCCATGGCAAAGTTTTCTTTTACATTCAATGATCAATAAAACTCATGTCATAAATATGTTAGTATTTGCTAACAAACAGCCATGGATTGGTAATAAAAAATATATGCTTTTCCTGTCAGTTTCCATGAAATTATGCTTTGGTAAAAACAATCCCAGAATTCTCAATGCCTTAAAAACAACGATTGTTCTTTACAAGTTTATTACAGAGTCAATTCCACACTACTTTCATTCTAGAACCTGGGTAAAGACATACCTCTTACCCCTGGAACATGCCTTTCTTGTAGCAGAAAGAGAAAAGAAAGTGTAGAGGCACACAATAGTTCTTAAAGACTTTGCTTAGAAGTGGAAGACCAGTGTTTTGCTCAAACTCTGTAAGCTAAATGATCTCTATAGATAAACCTCATATAAATGGTACTGAAGTTTAATCTTCTTCCATAGAAGATAGTGATTCTTATGGAACAATCTGAGACCATTATTTATTGCCAGGTTTCTCAAGGATCCAAATATCAAGGGGCAGTTCAAGACCAGAATCAAGGAAGGACTAGAACATTCACAGAGTGTTTGCTTTCACCACTTCTCTTTCCAGACCTGCTTTGTCATCTCTCATTCCTGACAGCTTTCCCTTATCCTCAATTCAAATAACAAAACCAGAGAGCTTCCCAGAAAAAAAAGACTGGTTTTCATCAGCTCATATTGTACATATATTCAAGGACACGCCAAGTCGCCTGGGTTGTTTAGATGCAAGTACCTAGAACATGTGGCAAAAAAGCAGAGCCACATTTTAGTAACTAAGCATGTAAATGGAGGTGGTGGAAATGGAAATCCAGAATCATTTCCCAGGAAAAGGAATTTCAACAGGTTTCTGACAAGCACAATTAAAAGGATAACAGTTTAGTTTACAAGTTTATTCATCCTTAGTAAAAATGTATACTTTTGCTTCTACACAAAACAATAAAAAGTCTGTTTTTAGTGAAGTAACAGAAGTAAGTAAGTCTGTTACTTAGTGAAGTAACAGAAATACAAATGATCATTCAAGGGAAAACAATATCCAATGTAAGGAAAATTAACAACAAAAGGGAAGAAGGCAAAACTTAAAAGCAAGTTCCAAAGGAAGTTGAAGAAATTGATTACAGAAAATAATCATTATTTCAAGAAAATTTAACAAGTTAAAGAGTTAATAAGCTTTCAAAGGAGACCATTTCAGAGAAAAAAAAAGACACTCAAACTAAAATAATGACAGTTAAAAATAAATAATTCAATAAATGTGTCAAAGATACTTTGCTGAGAACAGAATTAGAGGCCTAGTCAATAAAGAGAACAAATGGCTGAATAAATAATAAAGGAGATATATTTATTTGATTTATATACTACATATGTATTTACAATCAATTAACTCATTCTGCACAAATCTGTATGAATGACTCTCAAATAAAAATGTTATGCAAAATGTTGCACAAAAAGCACAGCCTCAAAACCAGAACTACACATAATCACATAATAAGTATCTATTGCTCACACTTCTGGGTCAAGTACAAGTAGCTTTAGCAGTGCTGCTAATGGCGGCCGGGCTTGATCAATGGTCTGGTATTCAACTGAATGTTGGCTGATCTAGAGATGATTAGGGCACCTTGGCTGTGCCCCACCTGTCTCCATCTCCCAGAAAGTTGGCCCCAGCATATTTTCATGGGGATGGCAGACAAACAAGATGGAGAGCAGGAACGCAGGGGAGCTTTTTCAAACCTCTGTTTGAATCAAGTCAGCTAAACATCTTTTTGGCCAAAGTCAGTCACATAGCCACAGAACGGGCTACATGATTTGCAGGCCCGTGGTGAAATGAAAATATGAGGTCTCTTGTTCAAAAGTATTAAGAATCTCAGGGCAGCAACAGCAGAGAATGAAACCATGTACAGGGCATGTCTAACCATAGTGTCCTGGGGGACCACATACCCATGAAATTGGCCTTGCATAAATAAACTCATATCCAAGGGCTGGGAGTGGGGAGGCTGAGGTAGATGTATATATTCTACCTCTTGATGACAGAAACTCAAAGTTATATGGCAAAGAGTGAAGATACAGGGTAAGGTAAAGAATTGGGGTCACTTTATTGGTCTACCATATTAAGATAAATTAATTATATAGAAGAGTACTGTGTCATTTGTGTCTATTTAAAGTAATAGTCAAAACATGATGATTCTTCATCTCTAGGCATACAGATGAATGATAAAATTATGGCAGAAGAATATGTATCAGTATCATATCTGTGATTAGCACTGGGGAGTGAAAGAACTGAATATATTTAGGCATGGGAATAACAGATTTCACTATTATTTGCCACATATGCTTTTTAGAAAAATACATAAATAAAATGCTTGCATGTGTGTCATTCATAGTGATATACATTATTCTCAGAATTTTCCTTTTTAAATTTTTAATCAAAAGAAAAAAGTCAATATAGAAAAATTAAGACAAATATAAACTATGGACTTTGGGTGATAATGATGTGTCAATGTGGAGTCATCAAATATAATGAATGTATCACTCTGGTGGGGCATGTTGATAATGGGGAGGCTATACATGTGTGGGGGGTGGGAGGCACAGGGTATACAGATACTCTCTGTACCTTCTACTCAATTTTGCTGTGAACCTAAAACTGCTCTGAAAAATAAATATTCAACTGGAAATAAGAAACTACAAATAGCTGATAACTGTTTAGAGAAGATATTTAGGGAAATACAAATTGACACGAAGATGTGATATAATATCTCAGCACATATTGCATGCTTTTGAAAATCTAAACTGGGGGCGCCTGGGTGGCGCAGTCTGTTAAGCGTCCGACTTCAGCCAGGTCACGATCTCGCGGTCTGTGAGTTCGAGCCCCGCGTCGGGCTCTGGGCTGATGGCTCAGAGCCTGGAGCCTGTTTCCGATTCTGTGTCTCCCTCTCTCTCTGCCCCTCCCCCGTTCATGCTCTGTCTCTCTCTGTCCCAAAAATAAATAAATGTTGGAAAAAAAAATTAAAAAAAAAAAGAAAATCTAAACTGCTACTTTCTTTCCAGAAACTGAAAAACTCTCTCAAAATCTTAATATAAAATATGAGTAATAAAGAAGGTTGTTGTGAAAATTAAATTAGTTACTATATGCAAATTGCTTAGAAATACACCCGGCAAATGACATGTGCTCCTTAAATGTCTGTTACTTTTGTTGTTGTTGTTGTCACTATTATTACTATTACTCATACTTCTTGTTACAGAAACCCATTTCTTAATACCAACCCTACAAAAGAAAACCTCTGTTACATAAGAATTTACATACAAGGATGTTTACTGCAGTACTCTTAAGTGATAATTCCTTGAAATAACTTATGTGTCAATATTACATACTACAGAATGCTATCTATTAAAGAATGAGTTAAAATATATACATAGAGCCAGAAATTGAACATTATTAAATAAGACCTGCTGGCAGCAAAACTATTTTCAACTGTGTAAAAACAAACTTAAAAAAAATAGGTTTCTATATTTTTATTTAAGGGAAAGATGAAATTTAGATAGAAAATGGTAGAAGGGCACCTGGGTGGCTCAGTTGGATAAGCATCTGACTTAGATGCTATGGATCATGATCTCACAGTTCAAGAGTTTAAGGCCTGCAACAGGCTCTCTACTATCAGCACAGAGTCTGCTTCAGGTCCCTCTCTTTGCCACTACACCCTGCTCAAAAATAATAAACATTTTTAAATTTTGTTAAATGTTTATTAATTTTTGAGAGAGACATAGTGTGAGTGGGGGAGGGGCAGAGAGAGAGGGAGACACAGAATCTGAAGCAGGCTCCAGGCTCTGAGCTGTCAGCACAGAGCCCGACACGGGGCTCAAACTCACAAACCGTGAGATCATGACCTGAGCCAAAGTCAGACACTTAACTGACTGAACCACCCAGGCACCCCAGTAATAAACATTTTTTAAAAAGAACAGAAAATTGTGGAAAGATACACATAAGATTATTAATACTGATTTCCTCAAAGAGCAAAAGTGGGAAACAGAAAATTTAAGAGATTAAATTATATATTATACCAAGTTAAGAAAAAAATTATGGCATAATATTTAGTTAAATGCTTAAAATCACATAAATATATAAAATGACATGAAGGCGAACAAAATTAAACAGGGACAAATAGAGTTATTCCTTTAATTATTGCTATTGTGGTTATATTTCAAGGAGTTACATAGAGTAATTTTAATTTACCTAATTACACATTAATATTTACATCATTAAATCAGAATTTGGCTCCAAAATTAAATTTAAAATCTCAAGATGAAGACTTGAAATTCTAATCTGACTTGAATCACAAAGATGTAACATGTTAAATATAATAGTCATGCTCTTGTTTAGGCTCAATTTAGGGTAGTGATTGTAAAACTTGAAGAAACTGAAAAGTATATGAAAAGAAGAATGGCCACTTACTGTATTTCAAGATGGAGAGTATATGTTTTCCTGTCAATTTTGATGGCATACATGACCTACAGCAAAGTATTCAGAGAGAAAGTAATAGAAATTTAAAATTCTTAAGTCAGAAGCCATAATTTTTTTTAAATGTAAGTACTCTTTCATACAAACATAGATGGTATCACACACGTCTCAAAATTATATATACATGTATGTTGCTACCTTTCTTCAATCTCATCATGTATGACAGAACGAATAATTAAATTTCACTAAAATTAAGGAGGCTAAATGTATTTTAAAACTAAGAGCATTGGTCATTAGCATTTATTGTCATATAAAATTTTACTTTGAAATGGGCACATTTAGGAATGTTGGGTAATCTTTGAAGACACTTGAATTTATCTTTTTTTTAATGTTTACTTGTTTTTGAGACAGAAAGAGCACCAGTGGGGGAGGGGCAGAGAGCTAGAGGGAGACACAGAATATGAAGTCAGGCACAGAGCCTGACACAGGGCTTGAACCCACAAATTGTGAGATCATGACCTGAGCTGAAGTCGGATGCCTAACCAACTGAGCCATCCAGGCACCCCTTAATTATCTTTTTTCTACTTTACAATTTCTAGCCCAAATAAATTAAAAATTAAAGAATATAACACAGGTTGTGGGGAGCTAAGATGGCAGAGTAGTAGGAAGACCCAAAGTTTGCCTTATCATTTGAACACAGATAAGTATCAAATCATTCTGACTACCCAAGATATCCATCTGAAAACTGACAGACCAAAACGCACAACTAGAGGGAGAGAAGAGACCACATTGTGGAAGGTAGGAGATGCAGAGACCTGGTTTCCGGGAAAATGGATTGCAGGTGCTACAGAAGGGAGGGAGACCTGGTTACAGAGAGAGGAGAGAGAGAGAAAGACAGAGAGAGGAGCACATAGGGGATCATACAAGGAAAACAATTCTCCCAAAGCCAATGACTGGAAAAATGAGAGGGGGATTTTCCTGAGTTTTTACAACCAGCAAGGCTCAAAGACTGGAGTTTTAGAGTTTGCTCCTGTGGAGAAAGAGGGAAGATGGCCCGGGCTCAGACAATCTGAGGATCTCCTTAGGATGCATTGAGAGAGACAATCCCACCCTCTTGGACCACATCAGAGACAGGTGGCATTGGCTCTCTGGGAACAAAAGAGCTGGTGAGTGCCATTGCCCTCCCCTGCCCCTCAGCATAGGTATGGGGACACCTGCTGATGGCAGCTAACCTGGACACCTGCTCTTTGCTGTGCTTTGCTCCAAACTCCACACCCCTGCACTTTGATGGGACTGCCCTTCTGGGACAAACCTGCATCAGTACGAAAGCAGCAAGACCCCCCCACGAAAGGACCAGCACAGGTGCACACCAGGCCAGGTCCCTAAAGTTTGGAGTTTTAAAACTCAGCTGCCTGACTGGGATAGAGCCCAAAGTGCCCCACGCTGCTATTGGGGCAGGTGGCCCAGACACAAACAGGGTCAAGACAGCAATCTGAGGGATGCCTGGGACACACAAAGGGAGATTGTTCACCCTTCTGGAAGGGCTTTCCAGACAGCAGCAGGTACAAACTCAACCTCTCCGGGGATGATGGAGCTGGCTAGAGCCATTATTCTCTCCCACTCTTCTGCATAAACTTAAGTAAGCAGTACAATGCCAACACTGGCAGCCTAAACCACTTACACCCCAACCCCCTACAGATGCTGCTTTTCTCAGGCAACTGTGCCTGAGACCAAGAGCAGTGAGCCTTTCCCCCAGAATACCAGCACCAAACCCCTGCATGCACTATGTCTACTGACCACAGAGTTATGCAAAGCTTCAGCTCTTGGAAATAGTATCAGGTCTCTTTCAATAAGCAGACCAGAGCACACCTAGTTAAAACTTGCCACATTCTGGCCAAGGTCCAAACACTCCCCACTGTAGGCAAGGAGAAGGTCTACCAAGGACTAACGTGAGGGAAAGAGCAGCCAAAACACAGCAGCAGAGTGGATACAGCATACACCAGAGACACTTCCTGAAGTGCCAGGCCCTGAACAATATATGACTTCTTCTTCATAAAGCCATTACTCTTAGGAGCAAGAAACATAACAGAAATCCTAACACACAGAAGAAGACAAAGACCTAGACAAAATGCCAAGATGAAGGATTTCATCCCAAAAGGAAACAACAAAAGGTCATACCCAAGGATCTAATCAAAACAGATATAAACAATATGCCTGATCCAGAATTTAAAGCAACAATCATAAAGATACTCACTGAGCTTGGGGCACCTGGGTGGCGCAGTCGGTTAAGCGTCCGACTTCAGCCAGGTCACGATCTCGCGGTCCGGGAGTTCAAGCCCTGCGTCAGGCTCTGGGCTGATGGCTCAGAGCCTGGAGCCTGTTTCTGATTCTGTGTCTCCCTCTCTCTCTGCCCCCCCCCCCCCGTTCATGCTCTGTCTCTCTGTCCCAAAAATAAATAAACGTTGAAAAAAAAATTAAAAAAAAAAAAAAAAGATACTCACTGAGCTTGAGAAAAGCAGAGAAGACACCAGGGAGTCCCTTACCACAGAGATAAAAGACCTAAAAACTAGTCAGGCCAAAATGAAAAATGCAATGACTGAGATTCAAAACCAACTGGATGTAATGACCACAAGGATGGAAGAAGCAGAGGAATGAATGATACAGAAGATAAAATTATGGAAAATAATGAAGCTGAAAAGAAGAGGGAAAGAATACAACACAGGTCCTCTTTTCAGAATAAAGGAAGCATCGCTAATCTATCAGAAGTGCTACCCACAGTCTTCTCCCTGTTCTTTTTGGGAAATTGCCTCAGCTAAAAAGTCACACCAAGTCACAATTTCCAAGTTAATGAGAAGCCCAACTCCAGATCTTGATGAACCATGCCAGCTTCACACTTTGCTGAGAGTCAGTTGAGTCTCTGTCTCCCCATTCCTTCTTCCTCCCGTCCTGTCCACAGAGGCTCATCAAAAGAGCATACCCTAATAAACTGCCTTCACAGGAATTTTCTCAAAGACTGCATCCCAAAGAATACAATCTGTGACATCATCATAAAACATAACACGTTCTTCATGGCATAACATACGGTTAATGCCAGAAATTTTCCCACATTTGCAAAAACATGAATTTTGTCACTGGTTGCAGTTTTCTGCATAAGTCATTTTAAATCTTGTATAGTGTTCAGTCTTTTGTAACCCTACAGCTCTTGAAATAGGTGTGTTGAAATCTCCCCCAAATTTTGTGATATTTCTTTCTCATTTTTTTGCCTTAGTTTTTTGTCTTAGGAGCTCTGTTGTTAGGTACAAACACATTTAGTATGGTGGTATCTTCAGGATAAATCAATCATGTTATTATTAAGGTACCTTTTATCTCTAGAAGTACTTCTTTATCTGATATTATTATACTTGCACCAGTTTACTTTTGATATTTCAGGTTTTTAAAAATGTTTTTTAAAAAATCTTTCATAATCATTTAAAATATAAAGATGCATTCTGAGGATAAAATCAAGTTTCAATTTTCAGAGATGTACTAACATAAAGATGCCTCTCAAATAATTTATTTCACAATAGGTATTGTTAACAGTAATTGTCTAGATGCAAACTAAATGGAAAACAAATTGATTTAAGTACTACTCCTTTAGTAGCTCTCCTCTTTCTATTGTTGAGAATAAATCTGTATAATTTGCCTTCTACATTCTGGATATTAGATAGGTAATGACATCACCATATATCCAAGGTACTCAAAGCAAAAATATGGTCTATGTAATAGCTGGTCTCTGTCTTACTATTTAAACCCTACTTTTTTAATTTTTATTTTCTTAATTTTTTTATATTTTAAATTACTGAATAAAATGGAAATAATAGACACTCCTGTGTCAGTCTGATCCTAAAATGGAATGCTGTAATGTGTAAAACATTAAGGATGATTTAGTTATAGATGGCTTTGGTTGGTGCTGTCCTTGTTCCCTGGATCCATTTAAGCACATTGAGGCTATTCCATTCCAAAGAGAAGTATTGTATGTGTATTTGGTGAATATGTATGTGTGAATGTGGAATAATTATCTGAGATGTTCTTTTGGATACGTTCACTGATATTTGAAGTATGCTAGTGTGGTAGGTTAATTTAATAAAGTTTTCTAGTATTCACACATCCTTCAACAGAGAGAAAATCTACATGGTCATAAAGTTCTACAATTATTTGCTACTTTTACTTTTTAAATATTTTAGTTAAGTGAAAGAACCTATCATTTCCTTTTCTGATACTTTATTTGATCTCTATCAAAGGTACATTAATATTTTAAAGCATTATTAAGTGATCTGAAGGATTAACTTATGTTCTTCCCGTGTTCTAGTCTCCAAAAAAGGCACATCATCTTTCCTTGAATATTGTCCAAAAACTTAAAACCATTTGACTAGTAAGATTTTCTGGCAATTTATTTAAATTATTAATTCATAATTAATTCATAAATAACTTCATGATTATAAATATAATCTATAAGCAGATATTGTATTTCTACCTGAGTCAAAAAAATGTATTTGGGAAAGAAAAAAGAAAACCAAATATCAAGATTGCAGACTTACACCAAACCTATAAATAATTACAAAAATTAAAAATATGAGTGTGCATATATCTAAAAACAAATTCAGTTCAAATTTACTATCTTTAGAAACTGAGATGGACATTCATTCACCTTCTCAACAATTCTCTGTGCTATCTATGAGTCCCAGAAGAAGAGAAAGGGGGGAAGAAAATTTATTTGAAGAAATAATAACTGAAAACATCCCTAATCTAGGGAAGGAAACAGATATTCAGATCCAGGAAGCACAGATAACTTCCAGCAAAATCAACAAAAGCAAGCCAACACCAAGACATACCATAGATTTGCAAAATATAGGGATAAAGAAAAAATATTAAAAGTAGAAAGACAAAATAAGTCCTTATTTTAAAAGGGAAGACCCATAAAGCTAGCTAGAGATCTCTCCACAGAAACTTGGCAAGCCTAAAGGGAGTGGCATGATATATTCAAAGGGCCAAATGGGAAAAATCTGCAGCCAAGAATACTTGACCCAACAAGGCTATCATTCAGAATAGAAGGAAAGATGAAGACTTTCCCAGACAAACAAACCCCAAGGAATTCATGACCACTAAACCAGCCCTGCCAGAAATATTAAAGGATACTTTGTGAGTGTAAAGGAGAGACAAAAAGGGACAAAGACAAGGATCAGAGAAATCACCAGAAACAACACAAAACAAGTAATAAAATGGCAATAAATATATATCTATAAATAATTACTCTGAATGCAAATGGACTAACTGCTGCAATCAGAAGACATAGGTGTCAGAATGGAAAATAAAACAAGACCCATGTATATGGTGCTTTCAAGAGACTAATATTAGTACTAAAGACACCTGCAGAAGAAAAGTAAGGGGGTGGAGAAATATTTATCACCCAAATGGATGTCAAAAAAAAAAGCTGAGTAGCATTACTTAGATAAACTAGATTTTAAAAGAAAGAATGTAACAAGAGACAATGAAGGGTACTATATCATCATAAAGGAAACAACCCAACAAGAAGATATAACAATTGTAAATATTTATGCACTCAACATGAAGGCATCCAAATACATAAAACAATAAGAAACGTAGAGGAACTAATTTATAATAATGCAATAATAGTAGAACACTTTAACACCACACTTACATCAATGGGAAAATCATCTAAATAGAAAATCAACAAGGAAATAATGGCTTTGAATGACACATTGGGTGAGAGGGACTGAAGAGATATATTCAGAACACTCCCTAAAACAGCAGAATATACATTCTTTTCAAATACACATGTTAACATTCTCCAGAACAGATCTCATATTAGGTACAAATCAGGCCTGAATACAAAAATCCTGAAACCATATCATGTGCCTTTTCTAACCACAACACTATGACCAGAAGTCAACCACAAGAAAAATGTGGAAAGAGCACAAATACATGGAAGTTAAAGAATATGCTACTAAACAAAGAATCAGTCAACCAGAAAAGCAAAGAAGAAATTAAAAAAAAAAAAAAAAACACGGAAACAAATGAAAATGAAAATACAATGATCCAAAACCTTTAGGAGCAGCAAGAGTGGTCCTAGGAGGGAAGTACTTGACAATACAGGCCTACATCAGGAAGCAAGAAAAATCTCAAATAAACAACTTAACCTTACACTTAATGGAGCTAGAAAAAGAATAGCAAATGAAGCCTAAAGCCAGCAGAAGGAAGGAAACAATAAAGATTAGAGCAGAAATAAATGATACAGAAATTAAAAAAAAAACAAAAACAAAAAACAATAGGTCAATGAAAACAAGAGCTGGTTCTTTAAAATTGATAAACTTCTAGTCAGGCTTATCAAAAGAAAAGAGAAAAGAACCAAGTAAACAAAAATAAAAATGAGATTATAAAAATAATAACCAACACCACAGAAATACAAACAATTATAAGAGTACTATGAAAATTTGTATGTCAACAAATTGGGACAATCTGGAAGAAATGGATAAATTCCTAGAAACATCTAAACTACCAAAACTGAAACAGGAAGAAACAGAAAACTTTAACAGACCAATAACAAGCAAAGAGATTGAATTAGTAAACAAAACACTCCCAACAAAAAACCAGATGGCTTCACAGGAACACTCCCAACAAAAAAACCAGATGGCTTCGCAGGCAGATCATACCAAACATTTAAAAAGAGTTAATACCTATTCTTCTCAAACTATTCCAAAACATGGAGAAGGAAGAAAAACTTCCAAATTCATTCTATGAGCCAGCATTACCCTGGCTCATACCAAAACCAGATACCAAAACCAGATAAAGACTCAACTTAAAAAGAGAATTATAGGCCAATATCTCTGATGAACATGGATGTAAAAATGCTCAATAAAATTCTAGCAAACCAAATCCAACAAAACATTAATCATTCACCAAAATCACGTGGGATTTATTTCTGGTCTGTAAGGATGGTACAATATTCACAAATCAATCAACATGATTAATAAAATGTCACATTAATAAAACAAAGTATAAGAACCATATGATCATTTCAATAGATGCAGAAAAAGCTTATGACAAAGTACAATATGTATTCATGATAACAACCCTCAACAAAGTAGACTTAAAGGGAACATACCTCAACATCATAAAGGTCATATATGACAAACCCACAGCTAATTATCATCCTCAAAGGGGAAAAACTCAGAGCTTTTCCTCTATGGTCAGGAACAAGACAGGGATGTCACCCTCACCACTGTTATTTAACATAGTACTAGAAGTCCCAGCCTCAGCAATCACACAACAAAAAGTAATAGGAGGCATCCAGATTGGCAAGGAAGAACTAAATGTTTCATTATTTGCAGATGACATGATTATCTTTATAGAAAAACCTACAAGATGCCACCAAAAAACTGCTAGAACTGACACATACATGAATTAAGTAAAGTTACAAGATACAAAATCAATGTACAGAAATCAGTTGCATTTCTATATACCAATAATGAAGCAGCAGAAAGAGAAAATAAGAATCCATCCCATTAATTTAAATGAAATTTAGCACCCAAAACAATAAGACACCGGGAATAAACCTAACTGAAGAGGTGAAAATCCTGTACCCTGAAAACTATAAAACACTGATGAAAGAAACTGAAAACGTCACAAAGAAATGAAAAGATATTTCATACTCATGGATTAGAAGAACAAATATAGTTAAATATAGTCTATACTACCCAAAGCAATATACACATTCAATGTAATCTCTATCAAAACACCAATCACATTTTTCACAGATATAGAATGAACATTCCTAAAATTTGTATGGACCACAAAAAACACGAATAGCCAAAGCAACCTTGAAAAAGAAAAGCAAAGCTGGAGGCATCACAATTCCAGGCTTCAAGTTATATTACAAAATTAGAGTGATCAAAACAGTATGGTACTGGCACAAAAACAGACACACAATCAATGGAACAGAATAGAAAACCCAGAAATAAACCCACAATTATATGGCCAATTTATATTCAACAAAATAGGAAAGAATATCCAATGGGAAAAAGTCTCTTCAATGAATGATGTTGAGAAAACTGGATGGCAATATGCAAAAGAACAAAACTGGACCACTTTCTTACACCATACACAAATATAATTTCAAAATGTGTTAAAGATCTAAATGTGAGACCTGAAACCATAAAGATCCCAGAGGAGAGCACAGGCAGTAATTTTTTCAACTTTGACTAAGTTCTTTCTAGTTATATCTTTGGAGGCAAGGGAAACAAAATTAAATTCATCAAAATTAAAAGCTTCTGCACAATGAGGAAGACCAACAAAACTAAAAGGCAACATACAGAATGAGAGAAGATATTGCAAACGACATATCTGATAATGGGTTAGTAACCAAAACATAACAAGAACTTAAACCCAACACCAAAAAAGCAAACAATTCAATTTAAAAATGGGTAGAAGACACAAATAAACATTTCTCCAAAGAAGACATCCAGATGGCTAACAGACACATGAAAAGATGCTCAACATCATTCATCATCAGGGAAATGTAAATCAAAACTACAATGAGATAGCACCTCACACCTGTCAGAACCGCTAACTGGCTAAAGAAACAACATATGTTGGCCAGGATGTGGACAAAGAGGAACCTGCTTACACTGTTGGTAGGACTGCAAACTAGTACAGCCACTGTGGTAAAACAGTATGGAGTTTCCTCAAATAGTTAAAACTAGAACTACGCTATGATCCAGGAAATGCACCACTAGTTATTCACCCAAAGAATGCAAAAATACTATTTCAAAGAGATACAAGTACCCCAATGTTTATAACAACATTGTCTACAATAGTCAAATTATGGAAACACCCCAGTGTCCATTGATGATGAATGCATTAAGGTGATACAGACACACACACACACACACACACACACACACACACACACACACTGGAATATTACTCAGCCATAAAAAAGAATGAAATCTTGCCATTTGCAAGGACATGGATGGAGCTAGAGAGTATTAATGATAAGCAGGTCAGTCAGAGAAAGACAAATGCCACATGATTTCACTCATATGTGGAATTTAAGAAAAAAACAAAAGAGCAAACTGGGAGGAAAAAAGAGAAAGAAGGGCAAAATCAAGAAACAGACTCTTAATTATAGAGAACACACTGGTGGTTATCAGAGGGGGTGGAGGGGAGAGATGGGTAAATTGGTGATGGAGACTAAGGAGTGCACTTGTATGAGTACCAGGTGTTGGACGTGAGTGTTGTATCACTAAATTTACACCTGAAGCTAATATTACACTGTATGTTAACTACCTGGAATTTAAATACTTAAAATATAAATAAACAAAAATGGCACAAATAATATGTATGTCACACAAATGTCACAGAAACTACACTTAATGAATTATTCATAAAAATCATGCTAATATTAAAAGAGCTTTACCATTGAAAAACATTCTGTGCTACCTAGATTTGACAATGTACATGCTTTATTTTAATCATATGAAAAATAACAGTACTTGCATTTTAACAAAGATTTATATATGTATATATGAGCAAATATAGGCATTCTTTATATATTGTCATTTTAAAACAATATAAATTTTATCATGACCTCACTTATATAGAATATTTAAATGTCCATATTTTGTAGACAAAAAGTCCAGTAGACTGTATATAACATTTTGTGTGATAAGGATTTGGGGCACTTTTTTCTGAGTCTGTGTTTTAAAAATATTTCATAATGTTCATTGGGAAATGAAGAAAAATCAAGACACTTGCTTTCATTCAGACAAAATGACACTTTAACACAGCAGTTAGAACACAAAATTTCAAAGGAATATATGCATGGGCTGATTTGGGTCACGCAGTCCAGTAAAAATAAAGCACTCAAAAAAGAAGTGATTTCTTAATTACATGCGTTTCTGAAACTTCACCATCGGTGTTTGTCTCTATCTTCCGTGGCACTGTAATTTGTAGAAGTGATGTTTCAGGATCTGCAGTAAGGAAAACAACTGTAAGCATTCCCCAGTGCCTGCCAGCATCCTTATTCTTCACTGGTCCTGCCACTTCACATCACTCTTTGAACTTCCACGAACTCATACACACATACACACACACACACACACGCAGGCACGCTCCCACCACGGAATCAGACTTTGTGCATTCCAGAAGAGGCTACCTAGAAATGGGACGTGACCCTACCACCTTCCAAGGACACTTTGGGATTTGCTGACCTCCGCCCCAATAGGTGAAGAAGAGCTGCTCTGGGGATCCCACCTCCCAGAAGCTGCTCGCCCCCTCCTCCAAGTGCAGGGTCAGGCACGTGAGGACAACTGTCCCAGTCCTGTTCTGAGCCCTCCCAGCAGCAGGCCCCGCAGGATCCTGACTCTAGGTGGGCTCTGACAGGACGCAGGGCTCCCCCCAGCCGGGCACAGGGTTCTGGAGCAAGCTTCTGGAGCCCGCCACGCTCACAGGCTCTGCGACAGGTGACCCTCTACGGAGCAGGTCCTACACTCACGATGGCCGGCGGAGGTCAGCCGGCCCAGGCCTGAGAGGATCAGTAGGACAGGCAGCATTGCGCGTCCTGCCGGCCTTGCCACGGTGATGGCGGTTGGCTGAGGAATGGCGGCCGTTCGCGCGCTTGGCCGTGAGCTCCGGGCCTGCAGGGAGTGGGGGCGGCGCAGGCGGCGGGGCCGTGGGGTGACGGGGCGATGGGGGGAGGGGCACGCGGCTGGTCAGCCCGCCCCGCCCCTTCTGCTGACCCGCAAGCACATCCGCAGTCCCGGGCGCCCACCCACTGCCTTCTGTGCTGTGGAGGCACATGGCAGCCTGACCGGTGCCCACGTGGGCTTGGGTTTGGGCTTTAGTTTCCAAACGCGGACATTTGAAACTCATTTAGGGATTACGTAAGAGTCATAAAGTAAAGTTTTCTCCTCTGGAAATGGACCGTCTGCTGGTGAAGTGCTTGGCTGTGTCAATAGTCCACGTGATCGTTTTCTGGCACAATAGCTGAATTACTGTAGTGAAGAAAAACAAAATGGAAATTCACAATATGGTTAGTAGCAGACGGTTGCCTGTTTCAACCGTAACTACTGCCAGAGTTCTATTTAAGTCTTAGGTCAAAACAAATATACACACGTGCATTTTTACACAAATTACACAAATTTTTACACAAATTACACAAATTTCTATCCTAAATTTGTTTCTTAGAAAACTCTTTGTTTAAGGAAACTAAATAAAAAGTTAAATATGAAATGAGCGTACGTATGTGTTTTAATCCCTCGGCATGGGTTAGCAATTTAAGTATCAGACCAAAAATAAAAACAAAAAACAATGTACAACTATTAAATGATCCTGTAAGAATTACTTTATTTTTCCATTATTTATTCCATGGTGTAGAACTTGAGTCCTTAGGAAAATATGTAACTAGTAAAAGGTTAAATGTAAACTTTTTTCCCCATCAGTATGATATTGACAACTTTAATTTTTTGTCTTAATATGCAAGTTGATGACCTGCATAATTTTGATTTTACAAGGATTTTCACCAACCAATTCTTGAGTTGTACTTTCATGGGATACTTCTGATCACATCCTTGCATGCAATATTTATCCACAAAATTAAATGATTGTGTTTTCTCAGATTTTAAAAGAAAAAATTTTTAAATGGAGAAGGCTAGACTTTAACAATATATATTCTATGTTCATGCTTTTCCTAAACCTAATTTTAGTGCCTATCAAGAAAATATTCTTACAATTAACAAATGATAACAGAAGAAATTTATCTTCAAAATAGCAATTCTGAGTATTTTACTAAAGTGTTTATAGCCTAATCATTTAGTCTTGTTGTGATACATGTTGTATGCCATATTCATTTATTTGAATATTTCTATATACCTTAAAATTAGTATTTTTATCTTGTTTGCCAAATCACATGAAAATTGATGGAATTTTCCATCAATTCAGGATTAATAATGGTGCTCTTAAAATTTCTTCCTGATTGTCTACAACATGATCAAATTTTTGAAGTCTAATATACATATATGTCACTTAAGGCATGGTAAGAATTAAAAGCTTGTAAATGGTTCTACTAAAAGTCTCTGTTGTTCAGTCAAGTAACCAAAAGGGGAAATCGCCTCTATTGTTTAAATTTGTTACTCTATTTCCAATGTTGGTATTGACTGCTCATTTTTAACTGGTATAATTTACAGACATTCAAATTATTTGAATTTAATACAATTGTTTTTTACATGCTTACTACAAGCCTGGAACCAGGCAGACGTGAAAATATACATGACAAGATACATGTTTTCAAGAACCCCAGAAACTAACAGAAAACTGAACATATACAAGAAATGAAAAGTACATGTTAGAAATGTACACAGCTAGAAATGAAAAATTCTTTGTTACATGGATATTCAAAATTCTCTGGGAATATGGCTAAGATAATTTTGTTTTCTCTACAGATACTAAGTGAATTTAAAGGTGGCTGTGACATTTATGATGTGAGCCATATTCAGATGAGTGAATGATTTATATGGACATTAGTGCATTATAGGATTTTGTTCTTAAATAATTACATAATTTAAAATTATCCAAGAATCTTAGGGCAAATCAGTGATGGATTTTTGTGTAAGAATGAGAACTTGTAATGGTTTGGGGTGGTGGGTTTGAAATGATGAGGACTAGAAACAACAGGTTCGCTAAGGGGAAGTTTTTGTGGTTTAGACCAAAGACGTCTACATCCTCAGGATTAGAGAGGCAAGAGAAGTATATGTAGTAGAAAGATCAGAGAGATATTTAGGAAGAAATGTCAGTGTGTTTAATAATTTATTCTGGAGGTTGATGACATTGTTAAGAGGACTAAGCCACTGGGAATGAAAGAGGCACCAAGTTTGAAAGCAGCGATTTGAATAGGAAGATAATGCACTCAGCTACAGATGTTGACTTGGAGATAGTTGTGGAATGCCAGGTATAGACCTTGGAAATTGGAGTCTGATGCCCCAGTGTTTGAGTTGAAATATACCAATTTATGAACGCATAAAAAAGGAACTTGAAGCAAAAGAGTGACTAAGATCATTTAAGACAAATGAGTGGAAAGAAAAAGGAGGTCCAAAGTAGACTCCTGGGCAACACAAAGGATTTGGGGATTAGGAGAAAAAGAATCTAGATTCAAAGTGAAACTAACAAAGGTTAAAGTGAGTAAGAATTAGAAGATATTATGATGACTACTAATAAAATAAAATAGAATTTCTAAGTGGAATATTAGAAACTTTAAATGCTACTCAGAGATTAGGTAGAATGAGAACTGAGAACGTAATTATTGTTTTGGTAGTAATGAATGTCCCCATTGTGCTCTCCAGGAAGCAGATGCTGAGGAAGAGTTAAGGAGCAAAGGTTATTCAGGGACTAACAGCTGTGAAAGACAGGGGAAGTGAATTGGGAAAGCGAACCTAGGACCATAATAAGGACCTGGCAAAGTTTCTGCCAACCCAGAAGATTGCTCCAGAGCCAGGGAGCTCCAGAGCAAAGATTGCTCATTAACGGAGAAGAAGCTTAGGGCTTTGTACCAGTGGCTTGTTCAGTAATTGAAATGACGCATTCCCAAAAGGTCATGTAGTTGGCTCAAAAGCCCAGACAGAACTTAAGGCAACCAAGAGGTCAAGGCTGTCAGCTACTCACACTCCTTCCTCCAGTAGCAAATCCTTTCTTTAAGGGGGATCTAAGTGTTGCATTTTCCTGTTAGATAAACAGAACTTGCTAGAAGCTGTCAGAATAACAGGGATAGGACCCATCATGCAGAAAGGAGGGAAAGGGAGATGAGAAGCTGCAGATATTAGAAAGGGTAGCCTATATTTTGGCAGGGCCAGAAAGTTCCAGTTAGAAAGGAAGAAACATAGCAAGGTAGAAGGTGGATAAGATGGAATGATTAGAAAATGAAATATGAGGGGCGCCTGGGTGGCTCAGTCTGACTCTTGATTTCAGCTCAAATTATGATCCCAAAGTCATGAGATCAAGCCCTGCATTGGGCTCAGGGCTGGGTGTGGAGGCTGCTTGAATTTGAATCTGTCTCTCTCTCTCTCTCTCTCTCTCTGTATTCTCTCTCTCATTCTGTCTCTGTCTCTCTGTCTCTGTCTCCCCAGAGACAGAGAGACAGAGACAGAATGTACATGTACATGCGTGCTCTCTCTCAAAAAAATATACAGACCTGTACATGCGTGCTCTCTCTCAAAAAAATTTTTGAGACAGAATGTACAAACCTGTACATGTGTGCTCTCTCTCAAAAAACATTTTTTAATTAAATAAAATATGAAAGCAAAAAGAGAACAAAATCACACTTTGAAAGAGACATCATTAAAACATTGAATTAATAACGTATTGCCATTTTCTGAAAAATGAAGAAGGGAGAAACATTATGCCAAAAGATATAAGACTTAGGGGTAATAAAAGTAGTAGTTCAAATATTAAGAGGCACTATCTACTGTGGGACACAAAATAGAATAATCATAGTAATATTTTCTTAATTAGAATGTAAGCTATATGGGGCAAGGATATCTTTATTTTTTTATTTCTATTTTTCTCACTGTGCCTAGAATAATGTGTAGCATATAGTAAGTAGTCCATAACCACATGCTGAATAAATATCAGTTGGACTACCTAATGAATCATCTATACAGCTCAGTAAACTATGTTACATGCAAAGGGGGAAAACAAAGTTTGAGCTAAATGGTAAGAGCGGAGAGTGTGGAATACTGCCATGACATATGCTGTAGCAATTTACCAATGACTTTCAATGGATGACAAAGGAAAGCATTGTTAAAGACACAAAGGATATTTAAAAAATTGAGGCAAGAAGAATAAAGGTGCCAATGTGAAGGCAGTTTGAGATTTATATGTATTTTCTCCCTGTCTTTCACATATATTTTTAATAGTAAATGTAGAGGAAAAAATAGAATGTTGCTGAAGAGTTGCTATATGGAAGCAGGTACTGTGGATTGTTGAACAGAGTGCAATTAGACCTATAATGACTTTTATTTTTTTCCAAGATATGGAAATGATAAAACTAACAGATTCTTGGAGAGATGAATTATATGCCATTATGTCAGATCATAAACATGTAATATTTCAGGTAGTACATAAACTGGCTTTCCTATAACATAATTAAATTCATTAAGATACCTAAAGAGTAAGGGTTGCCTGGGTGGCTCAGTTGATTAAGGTCTGACTTCAGCTGAGGTCGTGATCTCATGGTACATGAGTTGAAGCCCCATATCAAAGCCCCTGCTTGAGATTCTCTGTCTCCCTCTCTCTCTCTCTGGCCCTCCCCTGCTCTCTCTCTCTCTCTCTCTCTCTCTCTCTCTCTCTCTCTCAAATAGATAAATTAAAATTTGGAAATGTTTGGAAAACTACAAACATGTATATTG